TCCGTCCCTCAAAAAGAAAGATTTGCCACCGTCCTTCTCAAAATAGTACTCCCTTTATTAGGGAAGGTGGTGAAACTCCTATAACGAACCCTCAAATTTTAGTGGTTTAACACATTTTTTTAAGTTTATTTTTCTTTTAAGTTTATAGATGAAACAAAAGCCCAGCCAGGGTGTTCTGGGCACAGTTAAGGGTGGGGTAAGGGCTCTGCTCCAGGGATCCAGGCTGATCATTGTTCTAAGGTCTGGGCAGACACATTTAGCCAGCAAGGAAGGAAAAAGAGAAGGATCATGCACAGGAGACTTTTATGGGTTAGATATGGAAGTGACACACATTACCTCCACCCACATTCTATTGGCCAGAATTTCAGAGGATAATGGGAAATGTAGTCTAGGGAGAAAAAGAAACAATTTTTGGTAACACATAACAGTCTCCACTGCAATCCCTAAATGCTAATTGTTCGTGCACCCCGTAAGTCTCTGGTTTTGGCTTTTCAAATCTGTTTTATACCTCACATACAGTGTGCATGTTTAAAAATTTTTTAATTGACCCCTTGCCTTCTTGAGCTACAAACTGAAATATGTATAAATGAAATGATATGATGTCATGGATTTTGCTTCAAAACAATCCAAGAGGGAGAAAGTACATGAGAATACAGATGAAACATGAGTTTTGTTGAAGCTAGGTGATGGGTGTCTAAGGACTTCTTATATTAGTCTCTTGAATTTTGTACATATTTAAATTTTTCCATGATAAAAAAAAGTGTGTTTTAAAGATACTAAAACTACTCTTTACTGTCTTGCAACAATTTTTAGTTTTTTTAAAAAAGGAACAACAGTAAAATCCTGACATAATAGACTTGCAAGTTTCCCTTTAGTAATTTTTCCAAGAAGGTTTTCTGATTTATTAATTTTGCTTGCTTTCTCCTATTATTCCAGTTACACAAGCTTGTCTGCAAAAGAAACAGACCAATAACACAAGACAAAAATCTATGAGAGGATAGTACATTCCAGACATAGAAGAGTTAATATTTATAGGTCAGCCACCTATAGTAGGAACACTTTAAGGACACTTAATTTATTAAGTAAGGTCTATATAAAGACCACATTCATTGGGCAACCACTGATTGAGCAACTACTCCATGTAAGGCACTGTGCTCAGGTCTAGAAATACAATGATGATGAGACAGGTGTTCCTCTCTTGAAGAATGTACTTGTCAGGACAGGTAATAATAAGCTGCTATAGCAAACATCCCTAAATCACAGTGGCTTTGAACAATCAAGCTTTATTTCTCACTGCACAAGGCTAAATGCAGATATTCGTGGTCCAATAGCTCTATTTTGAGCAGTAACTCAGAGATTTGGGCTCCTTTCACCTCAGAGTCCTTTTTTATGTAGAAAGGAAAGATAGCGTGTGTATAGATGATCACTCATGAGTTTTATTTATTTATTTTTGTTTATTTATTTTTGAGAGACATAGAATATGAGCCGGGGTGGGGGACAGAGAGAGAGAGGGAGACACAGAATCTGAAGCAGGCTCCAGGCTCTGAGCTGTCCTCACAGAGCCCAATGAGCCAAAATCGGACACTAAACCGACTGAGCCATCCGGGTGCCCCACTCACTCGTGATATTTCATAACCAGACCTGAATGTAACAGAGCTCTTCACACCTCACCTAGATCTAGTGTTGCTGGAAAATATTCTCTATGAACCCAGGAAGAAGAAAACTATATGCTGGAGGAGGGGAGGGGACACGTATTCTGGAATGTTCTACGTAAATGGTGATCCGGATCTGGTGAGAAGGCACATTCTATTAGGGCAAAATAAGAGCAATAATAAAGATATGAATAAGTTGTATAAGACTCTAAAAGAGGAGGTAGGAATTTTTTTTTTTAACTGATCAGCAATTCACAATTCCATAAATGTGCTTGCAACTCAATTTGTTTGGGCTATTAAATTTGTAAGTCTCTTTCCACAAAAAAATTATAGTCCGGTTTTCCCTACCCCCTAGAAAGCAGCCTGGTTTGGCAAGTTCAGTCACAGATTAAGGGTGTTTATCGATACTGGCTATGTATACTCACTAGAACATAAACTCACCTGGAATTTGGATCTCGCAGTGTGAAAGGATTTTAATAGGATTCATTCATACATTTGTTCAACATTTTATAAAGACTTCTGTCCCCAAAATTCAATTTACAATTTTTACAACATTTTACGAAGACTTTGATCTCTAACTCCCCCTTTACAAATTTACAAGAATTTACACTCACTGCAAGGATTTCTTTCCAGAGGTTTTTTTTTTTTTTAAGTTATTTTTCCTTAGGATCCAAAAATGTTAATTTTAGATGAGAGGAGAGGCAATTGAGGCTCACATGTGGGGACTGTGTGTGATGGAAATACGGGACACAGCAGCGCCTGGATTCTAATTTAGACCAGCCTGCCTCAGGCAATAGGAAAAGTCATTTGTCCCTGTGCGCCCACATCATAATCTGGCACAACTGTGGTATAGAGCCGGTCTTAAACTCTCTCTGCCTTCAGATTCTAGTTTGCCATCTTAATTTATGTATTTCATCATCGTGCCCACTGTCCCACCCTGCTCCCCTTTGGAAGTGACTCTAATTAGAAAGCACACTGGAGGATCCTTGTGGGATCTGAACTGCTAGGATCTCGTTTGATCTCCAATCTGAACTGCGGACGGCCTATTGTTTCAAATTCTCCCCCAACCCTCGGGTTGACAATTATTTGGCATTTCAGAGCCTGGAGATTGCAATGGATGCCGGACAGGACCGACCGCCTGAAAATCCAGAGCAAGCACTCCCTCCAAATATCTCCCTTCCCCAGACCCTGCACTCCTCCCCCTCACCCCCCCCCCCAAATTACTGAAAAGGGAAAGATATCGAGTGCTTTATAAACAGCTGCCAATCCATTAATAAAATGATAAGGCTGGTTAGAATTTTAAAGATGCTCAAGGTGTCTTTAAAGCGGCAACTAGCCTAGCCTTTCCTTCCCCCTGACACAAATTAAAACGCAACTATCACACCCCACCCTACTATTGCTATTTAAATTCTGTAAAATGCCACGGTGTCCTGAGAAACTTTCGGAATGGTGAAGTGTTTCTTGTCTTAATTTGGGTTAGACTCAGCTGAGATGCCTTGCGTAAAGATGTGAACTCCGAAGGTAGTTGACTTAAGAATCTTCAGTTCGTAGGACCGGGAGGAGGAGGGCAGAAACGGGGTTGGGGTGGGTAAGGACGTACGGCGAAAAAGTTTTATTATTTAATTTCAACCACCACGGAAGGTTCATCCCTGAGCACTGGAATCCTAAAGGCTAGGTAGGCTTGGAAATCAAGTGAAATGAATTGTGTGAACGCTCATTGAGGGCTCCGCACACGGGAGGGACTGGCTGGGCGGGCAAGGAAGGAGGCAGGAGGAAACCCGGTAGGAGTAAGGAGGAAGTGCAGCATAAAGGCCCCAGTCTTACAGCGCTCACTGGAGCTACTTTGGAAGCTGGGTGATCCGAGCAAGATCAAAGAGAGGGGGAATGCTGTGCCACTGCGGTGATCCAAGCCTACCATCGACCTAGCTTGCTCCTTGGTGCTTCGAGTCCAAGCTCCGCGCTCTCTGCTCGACCCCGAGCTCTTCCACTCTCGCTGGCTGCCCCTGCCAGCACGGCATGAGCTGCCAAGTGGGAGCCGAGGCTGCAAAGGCGGTCATGAGGCACCCAGGAGCTGGCGGCTGTGCGACGCCAGCTCCCAGGGTCCGGGAGCAGCGCCTCCGGGATGAGCCCCTCGACCCGTGACTGCCTGAGCTGAGATTGATCCCCAGTGCCCCACCTACGCACTCGCGAGCCCGGCTGCCTGAAGCTTCCTTAATCAGCCACTCCAGGCGCTGGCTTCCACCGACCGACACCTAGCGTAATCCGACTCTTCGCCTCCTTTCCAGGTTTCTACCAGGCGCCACGGGCGCGTGAGGCGCTGCCTTAGGAGCGGAGGGCCCACCAGGAGCAAGGCCAAGACCCTTCTGGAATCACACTTTATCATTCCCTGGTACACACACGCACGCCAGCTTCAGCAAGGGGCTATAGCCCAGACACCTGGCTTGCCCTGAGCCCTCCATTCTCCCACCACCACAACTCCCAACTCCTTGTCAATAAAGGTTTCTAAACTGCCCAGGCACCCACCCACAGCCCTGAGCCTCAGTAATGTCAAGGCTCGGCGGCCACAGCGACTCGGCAGCAGTGCGCATTTGGCGTGCAGCGCCTGGCAGGCGGACGCCGACCCCGAGCGGCGCCCGGGTCACCTCCAACTGTGACAGCCCCCTGTGTACCCGGGGTCCCCATCTGGAGCCGGCTCACCCTAGGACTGGCGGCGGGCGGCGCGTCTGGCATCCAGCTGAGCGCGGGAGGAGGGGAGGCTCACGGGTGAGTGGCTCCGGCGGCAAGGGGTGGGGGAGCCAAGCGTGGAGGTAACCCACACTGAAGCCCCTCCTCCTCCTATTCTCTCCCTCCTTCCTTCTCCTCCTCCCTCCCTCCTGTTCCCTCAAGTGCCCTCCTTGAGTGGCTCCCCGCCCAGCCATGCCCATGGGCCACATCTGGGGCTGCCTGATGTGCCTGGGGGGGCCTGACAGGCCTGCCCCTGCTGCCGTCTCCCTGCTACCCCCCCGTCTGCAGGGTGGTCCCTGTCTGCCCATCCTGGCAGCCCCCTGTCCCCTGCTGCTGGGCCGCCGGGGAGTGCTGGGTTTGCTCCAGCCGGTTTGGACGCCCCTGGTCTCTGCCAGAAGTTCCTGCTGTGGTGGTGAGCAGGAGATGGGTGGCGGCGGCGGCGGCGGTTCCTGCCCCCCGGTCTGGAGTGCCCTGCTTGAAGGGCCAGCCCTGCGGGTCTGGGGATAAATCAGTGGCTGAGGGAGCCAGTGGCTGCCGGGTTCTGCTGGTCTAACCCGTTCTCCCCCGGCGCCGCCGCCGCCGCCGCCCGCCGCGCCGGGTCCTAAAGCCGCGCGCCTCAAGAGGATGGTGCGTCTGGCGGCCGAGCTGTTGCTGCTGCTGGGGCTGCTGCTGCTCACGCTGCACATCACAGTGCTGCGCGGTTCGGGAGCCGCTGACGGGCCGGACGCGGCCGCGGGCAACGCCAGCCGGACGCAGCTGCAGGTGAGTGCGCCGCCAGAGAGGGGCGCGCGTGGCAGCGGGGACCGGGTGGCAGGGTGCTGAGCAAGCGCAGGCTGGATGCGAGGGGGCGGGTCCCCCGCCCCACCAAAGACCAACGGTCTTGCGGGGACAACCTGCCTTAGGCAGAGACGGAGTGGGGTTGCGTGCCTGGAGACTGAACCCCGTATTGAGGTCTGGTAGATGCTGTCCTCCAGGTTTTTCACAGGTCAGGTACCTGGGGGTGCGAGGCTTGGGATGGGCGGCTTGGTATGTGTTTCTTTTGGGGTGCTGACAATCTTTGATTGCCCTTTAGTGGCTGAGTAATGTCACTCTGGGGGGTGAGGGGAACGGCAGGAGACTCTTAACTATAGGGTAATACCCCCAAACTGGGTTTGGGAGAAAGAACCCCAGGGAGTCTGCCCCTTCAGAAAGCATCGCCAAGGGTCAGGAAATAATGTCCCGGAGGAAAATGGCCAGACACCCTGTTTTCCCGCGCGGTCCACGTGCCTCCCACGTCCCTCCCCAGCCTTGCGGAGGGGGCGGAGTCAAGCCACCTGTCGTGCTTGGGGCCCGAGTCACCTGGGGCTTTTAAAAATATAGTAAAGACTGTCAGCGTTCTGCCCCTGTTGTGGGTCGCTTTAGGAATGAGATTCTGAGCATCCGTTGCGCTCCAAGGCTGGAGAGGGGGTCGCCTTTGGGGAGAAGTGAGGGGGCTCCAGACACAAGGTTAATTATGTTTTCCGAATAAAGGATTGCTCAGGTATAGATTTCTTGTCACTGCCCTGGAAAGCGTTTTTCCTTGAGTGTTACAACTGTCAACTTGGAGCATGGGTAGAAGTCAGCAAGGATTTTCCCAGGAAGCCTCGGTAATTTTCTGCCTCCTAAAATCTCTTCCTCAAACCAGCTCTTTTAAACTCTTTGCTCTGCAGTGTGGAGATAAGTAGTATTCATTGTTCCCAAAGGACTTTACAACCATTGCCCCTGCTAATGTACTTTTTAATGTAATTTTTGTGAAAAAAAATGGTTAGAGAATTCACTTAAATATTTCTGTAGTGCTTGCTATGTGCCTGTGTGCCACTGTATTAAGTGCTTTACAGAATTTCATTGATTTAATGAGGTACTATACTGTTAATATGCCCCCTTTACAAATGCAAAAACTAAGGCACAGAGAGATTAGGAAACTAGCCAGTTTTCATGCATTCCAAACTCTTGATTACTTATACCAAGTTTTCTCTCTGCCAGGATGTTATAGACTAAAGCAAGGTGATCCTTGCATACAAATACAAAACCAGGAATGGAAAAGAATACACCCAGAGCCTACAGTTCTTTTAAATTTGGGACATTTCTGGGGCGCCTGGGTAGCTCATTCTGGGTTGGTCGACCAACTTCAGCTGAGATCATGATCTCTCAGTTTGTGAGTTCAAGCCCAGCATAGGGCTCTGTGCTGACAGCTTGGAGCCTGGAGCCTGCTTCAGATTCTGTGTATCCCTCTCTCTGTGCCCCTCCCTTACATTCTCTCTCTCTCTCTCTCTCTCTCTCTTTCTCTGTCTCTCTCTCGAAATAAATACCCATTAAAAAGAAATTTTAATTTGGGGCATCTCTGAAGATGTTCTAAATTTGTGGGGCCTGCCTGTCTTCTGTGGGCAAACAGGTACAGTGACAGACTTACCGGATTCCTTTGGGGAAATGGAAGACACTCCCATTCTGTAGATGGTGCGACACCCACCAGTCTACGACTGCCGGCATAATTCTTAATATCTTCAAGATTTCTGGAAGTCATATTTTATACATGATGCTTTCTTTCCTCATGGACTCATGAAAAGCTATAAAAATGATGTTCTATGGAAAAGTAAATTTGGCAGATTTCTTTATGAGGTGTTTGCTATCATTAGAATAACCTGGGGTTGGCCTTTTCTGCCTGAACAGTAAGGTAATGAGAGAAGCAGCTGGTGGAAGTGGCAGCTGCAAAGGGGAAGTGGATTAAATTCTCAAAGGGGCCTTTGGCTGAAGAAGTTCCCCAAGAGGGCAAAAGAAATGGGGGATTTAGAAGGAGTAATGCTCCTAGGAGTATCTTGGGTCCCAAGCAGCTGCTAATCCACCAGCTTCAGCTTATGTTGCAATAGTGTTTGATTATTCTGTCCACTCAATGCACTTATCCAGGCAGAATGATGAGTTTAACAGTTTGGTTCATAATTTTACTCTCTTTTGTAATTTGTTATTATAAAAGTTTTATATTCTTCCTGACTAAAGTTATTTCTCTGGCTCTCCAAAGATCTTACCATTCAAATGGAGAGAGAGAGAATATGTCCCACCAAGTGAGGAGGTCTGCAAAAAACATTTAGGTTATTGTTTTCAGCCCAGGACACTGAATTCACTAGTAGCAGGTGTATTTAAAAACAAAACTGCAGACACTATATTCTTTCTGTTTACTGGACATGTGTAACCCATCTCAAAATCCATTTAAATGTGTTGGTTCTGTGATATTTTAAGCTGCTAAATTCATTCTTTGTAACCAGGAAGTTAATCAGTCCCTAGACTACATGATTGTTCTTGTTATTTCTGCTTAAAATATTCTAAAATATGAGGTTGGAGTGAGAAATAAACATGGTTCGTTTATTTACCCAAACTGTAATATCTTTGGGGTCATTTAAGAAGAGATACTCCCTTATTTAAGATCTGGTTGTTTTGACATTATTAAGGACACCCAATAAAATAGTAGTAAGAATAACAACAATCATGACTAAGATTTCTCAAGTGTCTTTTATGTGTCAGGCACTGTCCTTAGCAGTTTACATATATCAACAAAAGTCTTGTGAATCAGGCACTATCATTATTCTTGATTCAACTAAAAGAACTGAGGTTAGGTAACTTGTCCAAGGTTGCCCACCTAGAAGCACTGTATTTCAAGTGGCTCATGAAACCAATGATGTTAGTCGTCACACCATTTTGAATATTTAAAAATATCTGATAAGAAATTGTCTGGTTGTCTGCAACAGCTGCATAAAAATGTAGAGAAACATTAACTTTTTTCACTTTTGAATGAAATCTAAGCTCTTCATTGAAATAAGTGTCTCATGTTCAGAGACGCAGACTAGTTCTTTGAGGTCTTTAATAATAGTCAGAAAACAATGGTATATAATAAAAGCAGTCTGGAAGATAGAACATCCCAAAATATAGAATCCCCAGGCAATAATAACAACTATTATTATATTTCTTTTATTTGAAATTCACATGACTACCTCTCTACTGAATCTCAGTCAGATTTAAAACCATAAATTTCTACAGATTTTAATAGGAAAGTTAGAATTTATTAAGACAGTGAGATATAAGCAAGTATTATAAACCATCAAATTGATTATTTTTACAATGCCATTAAAGCAACCCAAACTCTGAAATGTAACTTAGTGTCTTTGTTCTCTATCTCCTAACTACTGTCTTTATGAGCTCTTTCTCCCTTTATCACTCTACTTGCCTTCAGTAAAACAACTTAGCTTCTGGTACTGAAGAGGTCATCAGAGCCATTTATAGCAGTAGAAGCAAAAGCAACATTTATTTGTATTTAATACAAGTACGTTTCCTACAATGATTCTGTGGGATTGACAGAGAATTTGAGTCTTTGTATACTCATTTTATAGATGAGGAAACTGAGGCCTGGAGAGATTTGAGTAACTTGCCCAAGGCCACACAGCTGTGATGGGGACAGGGCCGAGCTTCAGAACCAGGCAGGCTGATACTGGAGCCCAAGTTCTTGTTCCTATTCAGCAGAAAGACTCCCAGCTCTGATTCAAGTCAACAGCCATTGTATTTCTTGTTTCATGGCTTGCCTTCCCATTATCCAGACAGGCTGGTGGCTCTTCTCCCTGGAATTCTTTATAAATTATGGATGACTGTCCCACTTAGCTATTACTACATAACAAACTACCCCAATATTTAGTGGCTAGAAACAACCATTATTTTGTTAGCTCATCAAGAAAACTTGCTCCAGGCTCAGCTGGGTGGTTCTTCTGCTGATCTCACCTGGAATTACTCATGTGGCTCTAGCCTAGTGTTCGCTTGACATGAGCTTGATAGTCCAGGATGACCTCACTCATATGTCTGATGGATGATGCTGGCTGTCACCTAGGCTCTGTCTCCACAGAGTCTTTCATCTTCAAGGAACCTAGCCCACAGAGCCTGACGTGGTGGACTTAGAGCAGCAAGAGAGTAAAAGCAGAAGTTGCAAAGCCTCTTGAAGAACTTGTACAACTTCAGCTACATTCTATGAGCCAAATAAATCACTGGGCCAGCTCAGAGTCTAGGGCACAGGGAATAGACTCCTCTTGATTGGAGGACCAGAAAAGTAATATTGCAAAGGAATGTGTGTATAGCAATGGGAGAAATTACTGTGGCTATGTTTGCAAATATCTACCATATTCATTTTTTGTCTCATATGCTTTGTAAATGTTTAGACCAATCTTGCACTCACCTTTTAATATTGTTTATGCTGCCTTTGGTCATGAAAAACTTTCTACTTTATTTATTTTTTGTAATGTCTTATTTATTTTTGAGAGAGAGAGAAACAGAGCATGAATCGGGGAGGGGGAGAGGGAGAGAGAGAGGGAGACACAGAATCTGAAGCAGGCTCTGAGCTGTCAGAACAGAGCCCAGCGCAGGGCCCAAACTCACAAACCATGAGATCATGACCTGAGCAAAAGTCTGATGCTTAACTCACTGAGCCACCCAGGTGCCCCAAAAAACTTTCTGTTTTGAATGTAATCAACTCTGAATCCTTTTATGATTTTCGGTTGTCTTGCTTTACTTACAAAAAGGTTCCTCAAATAAAGATTGTCAGAATCTTTAAATATATTTTGTTCTAACAGTTTTACAGTTCCTTATTGTTGTTGGCTGCTGTTGTTTAGAACAAGAGTCTGCTTTGAAGTTATTTGTGGGTTTAAGGTTTAAGATGAAGATACAACTTTGGTTTTTGTCCAAGTGAATAGCCACTTGTCCTATCATACCTAGGT